AAGAAATGCATTTTACCTACAAAAACTGAAAACAAATGTGTATTTCTCAAGTGTACCAAGGTCGACTTCAAACTTGTCGTCATCAATTTGTACGTTATCTTGGCTTTTTAAAACTTTTTTTCTGACGCGGGACGTCATACAGATAACGGTTGAGTAATTCTGTTCACTGATTTTAGTGCATAGGAACATAAATTATTCTCTATGGCACCTCCATGGCACCTGATCCCACCTCTGATGTTTCGGAGGTCCGTGTTTGCTCTGCTCTTATTTTGTATATTTGTTTAATGGACGTTGAGATTGAATACTGTTCGTTATTTCCATATCCTTCTCTAATCATTTTTCATAATATTTGGTCTTGCAGTCAGAACAAGTTCGCATTTTATTTTACCCCGCGTTTCATTTTCCTTTGAGTAGTATAATTTGTTTTATCTACTGCATTCCACTACATTTTTAAAAGATTTATTCGTTTAATTGATACATTATCTATTTATTTCAGCTAACAAGCGTTCTCGATGTAAGTATGAGTATAAGGATATACATATACATATAAATTTAGTTTTTTTGATTGTTAAAACTGGGGGACTGGTTAAATCTTGGCCTTTATTACCTTTTCAAATCAAGATTCTGAGGATAGAGATAAGTCACAGTAAGGAATCAAGTTTTACATGGGAATTAGGGAAGAAAATTTTCATAATTCTACTTTTCATGAAGAAGGGCAAGATAAATATGGAAACATTCTAAGAAAGTGTAAATTCAAGTATGTACAAATCTTGATTCCAGGGGTTAGGGAAGGATTATTATTTTCCTGGTGTTATTTGCTACCAACATGAAAATGCAAATTTGAAACCATTTCACATTCACCAATCATCTGTCAAATGATCACGGTTTAAGGTTAATGCATAGATGTTCTTGGAACATGTGTGTTTAAATTTTAAATATAAAATCAATGGACCCCCATTATGACATCACCAATTTTCTCTTAAAAGAAATATAAATCAATAAATGTTAAAATATAAGAGGAGTTCATGGAACCAGGATTATTTTTTTGCATAAAAAAAATCATTTCGCAGTTCAGATAAGGTGCGCAATGGAAATATCGACAATATTTTGTAATTAAAATGTATGCATAATCGGGATGGTAATTATTTTAGTACATTATTTATATTGGGTGATTATGTTTATTAACTGCATAATTATTAAAGACGATTACATTTTAAATTAAGACTTGTCACGTGATTTGGCAGTCACGGGATTTAAGCATAATTACTTGCAGTAATGATATTTTCATACATTTCACTAAAGCAAGGTAATTACCAAGATGAAATTCTAAGTTTAGTTTATCAATATTTCCAACAACATTGCAGTTTCTTAAAGTGCTGCAATCCTATCAAGATTCTGCAATTTCATTGTTCAAATAATATTTATATGACCGAATGTTGTATTTTATGCTGATCAACGGTATGAAATATTGATTCTGAATACTTTTGTAACGTGTTTGTCTAACACATATACTTAATGATTTTTCTCAGGGTCTAGGGCCCCCTCAGATACCTTGCTGAGGAATTTGATTGTTGACTAAAATTTATTTACATATGCAAAATATACAGATATCGGGTGCTTTGATACTTTAACATATCGAAAAACTTCATCAAAAAACTTTGAGACTTTGAAAAAGTTTATTAAAAAATTTGACACTATAAAAAACTTTATTGAAAACTTTGACACTTTGAAAAACTTGATCGAAAACTTTAACACTTTGAAAAACTTTATCGAAAACTTTGATATTTTGAAAAACTTTATCGAAAACTTAGACACTTTAAAAAACTTGATCGAAAACTTTCACACTTTGAAAAACTTTATCGAAAACTTTGATATTTTGAAAAACTTTATCGAAAACTTTAACACTTTGAAAAACTTTATTGAAAACTTTGACACTTTAAAATTTTATGGAAAGTGTCTTCCTTATAAATAAAACTATAAGTATAAGTTGCATGGATTACCACTTGTAGAATCAAACCTATATTCTTCTAAAATACAACACATATTATGCGACTTACACACGAACACTATTGTCACCTGTTTTGTAAGCAGGGATCAGTACGTATTGATCATGTAATCTAATTCTTGTTGCACTTCTGGATTATTGAATACAATTGGTTAAATATTTCATATTGCTCCGCAATCGTTTAATACACTTTGAAACATGGATTTAATACATGTAATCAATTTTGACAAAGTGTTGAGGTCTTATTTGTCATTTCTGGCTCATCGTCCGATATTAATGAAATATTGATGCCAGTTAAAGGATCGGGGTTCCCTATATTCATTTTTTTTTCAAAGGTAATCAAAGGTCCTTATTAATATCTATATATATGTCACCTGTAATATCCTGAACAGCAGGACTATAGTGCTAGGGTGAAGAAAGACATGAACACAATGGAGGATTATTTTTCAGATATTCGATATCCAGGCTATGTAAAGTTTTTTTTGTGATTAAAACGTTTGGAAGCAATTGTCGATTAATATAAATAAAAATATAAGATTTTGTAGTCTGTGTAGAATTTAACTTGATGCACTTGGGATACAAGATTGAATTCCTTTGTGATGAGGAATATTACTTATATTAAAAGCATCAATTCCTTTGTTGGTAATTAATGTATAAGGAAGAGACGGATTGTTAAACTTGCATATTCTTCAGTAAAGCACGGAGTTTAAAAAGCTTATGATTTGCAACATTCTTAATCACAGATCTTAGTCTATAATCTAGTGTCGAGCTTTCCTTGACCTTTTCAAAAAGACTATTTAGAAGTTTCAACGGAGCAGAGTAAAGTGTGGTGCAAATATGATGTAGACCAAACTGTTGGTTTTAAAAGATGGAAATAAATCAAAAGAGACATTGTGTAATAAAGAGATATGTAAGAGTAGATATTACAGTTTAAGAATTAGAGCATTTTTGATGATCAGTATAATTCACTTATTACACATGTATTTCATTGATTGCAGTGCACCTTAAATAACATGGTACAATTTTCTTTTTAGATTCACGGCGGCCTTCAGCGAGTAAGTATAAAGACACGATACAGTTTGTAATATAGTCTCAATATTTGGATACATTACAGAATACGCTAATGAGCATTTATAATAAAAGAAAATGATATTTCGAGGAAAATGATTTAAAACTGATTGATGGTTATAGATGTTGATAGTCATTCATTAAAAAAATTCTATTGCAACATCTATAATTACAGATCTTATTCTATAATCTAGCGTCGAGTTTTCCTTGACCTTCTTAAAAAGATTATTTAAAGGCTTCACAAAGACAGAATAAAATCCCTCGTTAAAAACGACCAGTTGCCGACGGTTTTTGAAGCAAGAATTGGATTCTTCGGGTGACAGACGGCAGTTCATCGGCCGTTGTCTTGCCCGATTTCGACCTTTTTTTCGTCGGTCGACCAATTTTACGTCCATTCCCTAACAAAAAAAAATACTATAGTAAACTATAATTAACTATAGTTAACTATAGTTTACTATAGTACCAAAGAAAAAAACTTTGGAACTTTGATTTACTTTGGCGAAAACTTTGGAACTTTGATTTACTATGGCGAAAACTTTGGAACTTTGATTTACTATGGTAATAACTTTGGAACATTGATTTACTATGGCGAAAACTTTGGAACTTTGATCAACTTTGTCGAACACTTTGGAACTTTGATTTACTATAGTAATAACTTTCGAACTTTGATTTACGATGGCGAAAACTATGGAACTTTGATTAACTTTATCGAAAACTTTGGAACTTTGATTTACTTTGGCGAAAACTTTGGAACTTTGATTTACTATGGCGAACACTTTGGAACTTTGATTTACTATGATAAAAAACTTTGGAACTTTGATTTACTATGGCAAAAACTTTGGAACTTTGATTTACTATAGTAAAAACTTTGGAACTTTGATTTACTATGGTGAAAATTTTGGAACTTTGATTTACTATGGCGAAAAATTTGGAACTTTGATTTACTATAGTAAAAACTTTGGAACTTTGATTCACTATAGTTAAAACTTTGGAACTTTTATTTACCATAGTTAAAATGTGAAACAACTTGAGTAAAAACTCCAGACTTCCCTTATCATATACAAGTGATGCAAACAGTTTATGTTAAAAATTTTTCATTGTAACATAGATTACACTTGAAAATAAATAGTAACAATAAATTTTAAAATGAAATACAAAAATACATCTATGTCTTCTCTTCATTGTTTTAAACAAAGCATGATTTTAATTTTGTTTAAAACGGTATTTAAAACAGGTATACATACATCTGTACAATATATGAATAGATTCTTTAATATTTTGGTCGTTAATATGAATGTTTAGATTTTTCCTATGAAACTATGTAGAGTAATGAGCTTTCATTTATCACAATTAATGTTTCCTGTATTTTTCTATACACGAAAGTTCATTTTGACAAATAAGACACAGTCAGGATACAACCTATCATTTCAAATTATAAGTAAAAAATATTATAGTAAGACATGAAGATAAAGCAATGGAATGAAGATTAAAAAATAAATTCTATAAAACACATATACTTGAATTTTTCATCCTGAGGAAAATACTATAAACTTCATAAGAATGAAAACAGAAAAATACTCAACAAAAAGAATTAACACGACTTTGCATCAATCTATAAAAACACATATACACTTTGAAATATATAACAACGAATATTCTTTAATACAGCTTCTAAGAATAAATTAGGACAATTAAATTAAATGAAACAGACAAAAATGATATTGCGTTATCTGGCATTCAATGCCTTAAATAAACAAATAAGTTGCTAAATATAATACAATACGTAAACTAGTAAAAGAAAAAAAAACAGCACTACAAAACTACTCACTCTATATATACATATAAAAACACATGCAATATAAAAACTGAAAGTCAAGAAACTTAATTGGCACTATTTAAATACACAATACATACATGTACTGGTACGTCAAAAAATAAAAATAATTTTAAATGTCCTTTTCCTGGTATTTATAATAATTTAATAATCACAGTCGAAAATCACAAGGTTGAGCAATGGTTGTGAAAACAACTCATGGATCCTCTGGTGTGGGGACTTTCCTGGCCTTCTTATGGATGCTGTTGAGCTTCGTCCGCACTGTCTTCTTGATTTCTTCAGCCGACACTTGCCATTGGGTCCTGGTGTAAGCTAGAAAGTAAATGACATACATATTTATTTATAATGATATTAAACGATTTTCTCTAGGGCAGTAATATTTGAGACTGTGTCATGTTCAATGAATTTAAAATTTCATTCATTCTTTACTTTTTACATCATTTAAGAAGAGCTCATCTTCTAATACTCTTGTATAAGCCTTGGTTATAAGAAATACCCTTTTAATATGACACCAAAATTAGGCAGCTTAAGTACTGTAAACCCTATTTCTTTGAAGGAATGAACATTTACAGTAAATATTTAAAAGAATTGGTTAAGAAATAGCTTACAAATGATGTCTGCTAATTTCTCAGCATCCAGCGCTGGTTTGATGTCCTCGGTTTTTGTCCTTCCCTTTGAACCGGTCAGGCTACATTCTGCCATTTCCTCCTTTGTAAAGATCTCCTCCATTATGAAGTTCACAAGATGGCTGTATCTGGAGCCTACATTGCTCTTTAGCTTTTTGGCTGAGATGCAGGCACTGCCAAACTGTATCACCTGATAAAAATAATTACCTTTTTAATTACAAAATTCATTTTGTTCCATTGATGAAGGCGAAATTTCTTACAGGTGCAAGATGATTTATGGTTTTGAAGAATATTCACATTAAAAATGCTAAAAGTTGGTATTCAATGAAAATTATAATATTTGTGAGTTAATAGAGTTTACTATTCTATAATAAATTCTAAGATAAATTACTATTTCAATAGTATAAATTTTACATGAAACCATGCACTATTTTGAGAAATCACCTAGCACAATTACAGCTGTAACTGTCCTAAGAGGTACATATTTCTGATCCAATCTCAATAAAATCATACTTCTTACATCAAACTATTTATTAAAAATTTTCACATCTTTTTGCCAGTGTGCAAGTTGATTTTTTCTTAAAACAAAATAGACTAAACTGTGAATTAATATAAACTTAAAAACTTTTCCAATAACATTACCTCTTCCCCATTTTCATTTTCTGGAGCCACAGGTGTGATGGCCTGTAAAGGGGCTCTTCTAATTCCCTGTGTTGGGGAGACAGGCTTCGGTGTTGACAACACAGCAGAAGGCTTGGTGCTTGGAGACGGTGTAGGGGAACTCTTCAGTCTCCTTACTTTCTGCAGAAGGTCTGGAAGTTCTAAAAAAAAAAATAAGATATTCATTAAAGATTTCAGCTGAATTGGAATGTCACTTTTTTTTCAAATGTTGTCAGAAAATATGGTATCATTCTGGCAGATCAATGTTCAGAATTATGTGGTTTATCTTATACCACCCTATGTGCATCCCCACAATTGAATACTTTGTTAAAACTTGAAATGTTGCATCATTTGTATAAAAAAATCACATGAAATTACATCCCAGAATTCGGTAAAATTCTGCTTACCCAGGAACACAAATCTGTCATTAAGTATTCCAACAGAGTTACATGTGCGAAATCATGATTCTTTTGAAATTTTACGAAACTTTATATATATTTTAGAATCATGTAGAATTATCTCATAGAGCTGATGAATGAAAGTTTCTAAGAAAAAACTCACTGGCAATTTAAAATCATGATTCATTTCAATGGACCAATGTTTTTCTTCTCATTCTAGTAACTTGATAAAAAAAATGTAGTAATTATGTATTATGATGTAAGGGCTTTTCAAGTAAAAATTATGTGGAGGGTATGAAACAACTATCAAAATTTATGCTGTGTGTGTGCTTAAGGCCATCCCCTCTCCCTCCCCCTCTTAAGAAAATAGCTCAGGAATAACTATAACTTTAAATTGACAACCTACCTTTAGCAAGTCCCAGAGCGGCACGTAAATTTTCATTTTCCTGGGACAATCGTCTTATCTCCTTTGATCTCTTTTGAAGTTCGAACGCTTGCATCTGACATTTGGTCATCAGCTCTTCTTTCGAAAGTCGAAGATCTTCTTCATCATCGGATGAAACAACCTCCTCTAAATTTCTCAACCAGGATGATTTCTAAAAAAAGCAAGTTGTCAATTAGCAAAATAAAGCAAACAAAAACAATAATACTCACTAGTAATACCCCTGCTCTGATACACTATCATTCTAATATGTTAAGTTCAATCACGGCAGACAGTTCAATAGGTACTTGACATCAGATTCATGCAAAAATAAAAAATGCAAAGTTGCTGAGAAAACTGCTACAAACATTTGTTATGTATGGTATGAACAGATGCAAAGACCAACACAAAGTTGACATGGAATACCAGGGGTGTGCAATTGCAAAAATTAGTTACTAGCTCATTGGGCTACAGCCCTGGTTGCCAGTCACAAGCCCATAAGCTACCGAAAACAATATATGTTTAACATAAAGGTAAAAAAAAAAAAACAAGAGGCTCACAGGCCTTATATTTCACCTGAGTATTGTGTAACAACTTTTTAACAATTAACTCGGTTCGTGTTTTACACTAGAGGCCAGGAAATTCACAATTCACAATTCTGAAAGAGGCACCATTGATCATCATAATTATAAACTTAGCATGCTTACCCTTTTTACTTAATACCCAGAGGTAGATCAGAGTAACTAAGAGAAAATGCAGTTCCACTTTATACCCAGTTGTGCACCTCACCCCAAGTTATAATTATATCCCCGCTCCGAAGGACTGGGGCGTATACTGGTTTATCCTTGTGTGTCTGTCCCTCCGTCTTTCTGTCCGTAACTTTGCAGTTTTCTCATCAACTACTCATCGAAGATGCTTGACATTTTAACATAATCTTCTTTGAGGCATGCCATACGGTGGGATATATTTTTGTTCAAATCCGATATCAACTTCTTGTTTGTCTGTGCGTCTGTCCATTTGCCTGTAATTGAACTTGTGAAAATTAACATCATAAAATGATAAGGTTTTTGACATCAGGGAGGGGGTATTACTAGCATGAATTTGCTCACATATTTCTTGTTTTGTCTACGTTGGTGACCGATTTCTTCAGTTAAAGTTGTTCGTCGACCAACCTTCGATCATCATCCGGCCATCGGCGGTCAGTTTATTAAGTCAGTCGTCCGTCGTTCGACAATATAGGTGTCCAAAATTACGTCCGACAGTTAAAATCAAACAGTAGCTGAATGCTCGATGATCAGGCGACGATTGACCGACTTGTGATTATTTAACCTATAAAGGATACATAACACAAACAACATGTCAATGCATGGATCGGTATATACTTTTTGAACGAAAATAACATAAATTATTATTCTATTAGACATAAGGAAATCTTAAACATCCCTTGCTACTAAAATATGCTTTTTTGCAATTTTAAAGAGAATTTTGAACATATTTATAACATTGAGTGAGAATTGTACCACTTTTCTTTGCAAACCTATCTGAATATGGATCACCTATCTGAATATAGATCTACGAAAAATATCGCTTATTTCTAAAGAAAAAAAAAACGACTTTGCTGTGTTCTTTATCCAAGTCATCAGTGTTCCTAGGGAAAATGTGACTGCTCCGTTCCGGCCAATCAAGTTCATGCAGCCGACAATACCAGAAAAATTTGGCCGCCCGATCATCGGCTTAATTGTGACCTAGGCATAAAGTGTGGTGCAAAAATGATGTAGACCAAACTGTTGATTTCAAAAGATGGAATTATTCAATTTTTATTACTCATTTTTTTTATTGATTGCAGTGCAGCTCAAAGAACAGTTAAAAAGTACAATTTTTGCTTTTTAGATTTACGGCGGCATTCAGCAAGTAAGTATAAAGGCACGATACAGTTTGCAATACAGTCTCTATATTTGGATATTTTACTGAATATTTACGCTAATGAGCATTTATAATTTATAATGAGCATTTATAATATGAGTGTATGTATTTTTTGTATCTGATAAAATATAACTATTTGTGTTTTGTATCTGTTGAAAACTTGCATATTTATAAAATGAAACATGAATTTTATAAAAATAATAGTTTGGTATATTTCGTCAATTTTTGTCAGTAATTATCAATGTTGTCCACGAACTTTACTGACAACCCTCGTATATAACCTAAAGTTTCATTTTCTTAACGTTCAATTTTATTAGATTAATAAAGATAACTTACACAAATATATTGGATTATTGTTTCCAAATTCCAGAGCCTGGTGATCCACCGTGTAAGTATAATTTTATATTGCTTTAATCGTTTTTTAATTAGCTTTATGAAAAGTAAATATTTCGTAAAATGTTTTTCTTGAATTGCCTGTTGTATTTTTTTTTACACAATTCATTCCCGGAAAAAAATAGATTAAATTATCCCCCCCCAAAAAAAACCCAACACATAACTGGACATATTTTTGTTTGCGTATATAATTGTTTATCAGAAGGTTTGACAAAAACTCTTGATATATTGATAAAATGGATGTTTTCATTTCGTACAGATGGAAGTAATTAGAAAAAAAATCCTTCTCTTAGTCATTAACTGATTGAATTTATATGTATAACTTGCAGCATGTTAAGGTTTCCACAAATTTTGAACGTGTTCAAAACATAATATTACAGTGCAAGGTCGATTTTGATTTTTATTTGTACTGTATATAATTTAGTACGATCAATAAATATAAAGAGCTATCTTAAATATATAAAAACCAATATATTCTCAGGGTCTTATTGATACATTAGAATGCATTAAGAATATTCTACCTTTTCAATATCAGTGGTACGTTATGGCGTCTTAGAAGACGAGATGACGTCAACTTTAGAACACATAAAGTTTTATGGATATTGGTATTTAGAGATGTTTATTTATTTTGTTTCGCCATATCTCTCCTTTAAATTTAAATCTGCAAGAGATGACGTCTTACATAAGAGGCTTCAACAGGTACATGTAACTTTGGAATTAGTCAAATTGTCGAAAGAGAACATGTCAATGAACTCTCCTTACATTGTTCTCTTCAAATAAAATGCAGACCAACCCTGAAAATTTTCAGGCAATTTCTATTTGAAAGTAAAAATTGTTTTTGATTAGGATGGAATCAAAATTCCTTGTGATGATGAAGTAAAGCTTCTAGGTATTACCATGGAGATCAAGTTGTCTTTTGATACACATATTACAATTATGTGTTAAAAGGCTGCAAGGCAATTAAATGTTCTTAAACGATTAGGAAACCACTTAACTAAAATAGGAAAGCTTACAATATATCACTCTATTATCAAGTCAAATTTTAGTTATTCCCTCTTAACATGGCATTTCTGTACTGAACCGAACACTCACAAAATAGAAAGATTTCCGAAAAGAGCATTGAGATTTATTTATGAAGATTATAAAAGTTTTTATGAAAGTCTTTTACATGAATCTAAACTACCATCTCTGAAATCCAGAAGAATGCGTGCCATTGCTCTAGAAACTTTTAAAATTATTCAAGGTTTAAGTGCAATCTTTTTTCAAGATCTGGTCGTTTTAAAAAAAAATAATTCATACAATTTTAGGTTTTGAAATACTGCAGAGGTCCCAAGACCAAGAACTAGAAGGTATGGGATAAAATAATTTAGGTATGAGGTAACAAAGCTCTGGAACTCTCTGTCCAATGAAGCCAGGCAAGCCTCATGACTAATGTTTATCTTTGCAGACGATCGTCATGAGTTATTGTTTTACAATATTGTGCTGTCTTAATCTTTTCTCTTTTTCATGTGTGCATTACATTTGTATTCTGTACCTGTTGCTTTCTTATGTTGGCTATTTTCTTTTCTTTGTGTATTTCTCAGATGTTCTGTCTTTTATTTCTTTTTTTTATGTGTGTTAATAAATGTCTTTGGTTAAATTAGTGCGTTTAAATGTACTTCTGTCTTCGTGAAACTTTATGTAATAACTCTGCTCATATATGTATATACATTTATGTACATTTTATTAGTGCTTAATATGTTTCTATGATCTAGTCGGTAAGAGAGCTTTATAGCTTATGTCCTTTGTTATGTATATATAGTCAGACTATAAATGAAATTTACTACTACTACTACTACTACTACTACTACTACTACTACTACTACTACTACTCTTCTACTACTACTACTACTACTACTACTACTACTACTACTACTCTACTACTACTACTACTACTAATACTACTACTACTACTACTACCACTACCACTACCACTACCACCACTACTACTACCTACTACTACTACTACTACTACTACTACTATTACTTCTTCTACCATTACTACTACTACTGTTACTACTACTACTACTACTACTACTACTACTACTACTACTACTACTACTACTATTCTACTACTACTACTACTACTACTACTACTACTACTACTACT